CCCACCAACCAACTTCAATGCCTCTGCGGCCTGGGCGAGTCTGTGGTGGGGTGGGTACAGAAAGTTGGAGAGCATCCCTGGTCTCCACCCTCTCCACACCAGTGTCAAACACCCCAGTGTCACACCCCAGCTGTGACGTCAAAAATGTCTCCAGACATTCCCTAAGGGAGAGAAACTGCCCACGGTTTAGAGCCACTGCCCTGCACTTACAAAGAGCTATGCCCGTTATCTCAGCAGCTCAGGAGACGGAGGCAGGAGGATTGTAAGTTCAAGGCCAGCCTCAGCCACTTAGTGAAGCCCTAAGCAACTTCGTGAGACCCCGTCTCAAAAAATAAGAATAAATGGGGCTGGGGCTCAATGGTAGAGTGCTCACCTAGCATTGGCAAGGCACTGGGTTCAATCCCCGGCATCACATAAAAAATAAAACATTAAGAAAAATAACTAATAAATAAATAAATAAACAAGGCTGGGGCTGTAGCTCTGTGGCAAAGTGCCTCTGGGTTCAATTCCCAGTACACCCCCTTTCCAAAAAAGAGCTAGTGGGAACTGCTCATGTTTATGGAGAAAAATGAAAGGAAACACAAAGAAAAACAAGACTCTTGGATTTGGGCTAAGAGCCAGAACTAGTGGAAAAGGTCAGGCACGGAAGAGTCCGTCATTTTCGGGCCCTTCAAGGCCAGTTTACAATCGGAGTCTCTTGGAGTCCTTTTCAAGGATTCCATCCTGACCACAGATTAATGTCCGCTTGATGCCAATTCAAGCACAAAGCAGCTCCCTGGGAAGTGGGTACACGCTGCATTCCCGAGTTTGCAAGGGAGGCGGAGGCTTGTGTGGAGAAGAGGGTCTCCAGGTCAGGCAGCCCACCTGCAACCCAGGAAGACTAATGTTGTTTGAAGGAAAAGAATACCCAGTCAATCGGAACCACAGGTTGGGAGGAGGAAACAACAAAGGAAGGGTTTTGTCAAACAGCACTTTATCAGCTGGGGACCACAAAGGGCCATTCATTGTTCCACTGGCTTATCTCGTGAATTCACACCTCTGCATCAACAAGCTGGGGCCCAGAGGGTGCCTGGGAAACCTTATAGGCTTCCATAAGATGGATCAGCAACAACCCCCACCACCTACACGGTACAGAGGCCCTGGCACTTCCCAAGCAACCCCTCCACCAATCTGGTATGCAACGCCCCCATGCCCAAGCTGGGTGACCACGGGGTGCACAGAGACTGTCGTCCTCTCCACAACTTGCAGCTCCAGTTCATTTTAGAGGGAGCCTCTGTGGGAAACGCTTCTCCAGAGTCAAGGCCCCTCGCAAATTCAAGGGGGTCATCTGTGCCCTTCTTAGATTTTATGAAAAAGGAACTGGTTTGAGAAGTGCCCACCCATTTCTGTTACTAATCCCGGGGTTCCAGTTTGCATGTGGAATGTCCCACAGAGGCTCATGCATGGAAGCCTGGGTCCCCAACTCAGCCACGATTAGAGATGGAGCCTTTGGGAAGTGCTTAGATCCTAAGTGGATTAATCCACTGATGAATTCGTAATTTGATGGCGTCACATCACTGGGACGTGGGAGAACTTAGGAGGTGGGTCCTAGTTAAAAGAAGTGGATTCTGGGGATGTACCCTTGGGGACTCTATCTTGTCCCTCCCTCCTACTCACTGACATGAGCCGAGCAGCCTTCTCTGTCCCTTCCTTCCGCCATGGTGTTCTGCCTCACCTCAGGTCTAAAGCAGTGGAGCCAGCTGACCACGGAGTAAACTTGTCAAATGGTGAGCCAAGATGAATCTTCTTGCATCTCCACTGGTTACTCAAGTATTTATCACAGCAACACACATACACCAGGCCACACAAACACAGCTGCAAAGCAATGCCTCTTCTATCTGGGGCTCTTAAGAGACTCCAGTGAGCTCCTCCCATCGCATCCAGACGGGTCACAGGGAGTGGGAAGAGCCAAGAGGGAAACGGAGCACACACGCACCCCAAATGGACGCCCACACTCGGAAGGGGGTCTCCACCTTGCACACCCTTGCACAGTTGGACATTTTGCCAACTTCCCAGACGTTCCAGAGGGCACAGCTGAACCAAGCATATGGGAACGAACAGCTGTTGGGCTCCAAGTTGCTCTGGTTTCCGAGGGTCCACTCCAGGTCCACCGGCAATCTCCATCCTCCGTCCTACCATTGATAGCATCGGTGACGCCGATATACGTGGACCTGAAGCTCCCAGTGCTTCCCAAGGAGCTAAACCCCAAACAGAAAAGCTGAGTCCTCTACTGGCACTTCCTGGACACGGCGGGAATGGACAGCTGGCCCCTGGTGAGGGCAGCCAGCTGGCTGTCACAGCAAAGAAAGTGACAGCTACCTGATAGATCCCTGGGCTTGAGTCCTACCGTATGGCGTGGACCCCAAGGCTTCTAGCATCCCAGGGTGCAGCGTCTCTAAGCTGCCTCCTTAACGTGACTGCCTTCTCTCCATCCAAGGGGAAAGCAGGCCCAAGGGATGACCTGGAACAGCCCGGAGCAGGAAATGCCCATCAGCAAGCCAAGGCATCAGTGCACTGTGGCTCATCCACACCCCAGAATCCCTCATCTGCATTAGGGAAGGATGAGCTCTGGAAGGACAGCAAAAGTAGGGATGATCTCCAGGGCATCCGGCTGCACAGTCAGTCTACAAAAGCTGCATACTGCAGGACTCTATTCAGATAACACATGAAATGAAGAAACGATGGAGATGGAGAGGCAGAGCCCAAGGTGGACGAATCCTGCCCCTGGACTATGGTAGCAGCAACACTCTGCACACACCTGGGATCACATTTCACACAACCACGCAGGCAGAGCTCCCGTCACCAGACAGGGCATGCATTCACACCAAAAGCACCTTGCCAATGCCCATTTCCTACTTGGGTCAACTCGGCACAGTTCTGTTGAGAGACACGGTCACTGCGGGGAGGCGGTGGCGGGACATTGGAACTTGCCGAGTTCTGCAACTACTTGCGAGTCTGTCATGGTTTCAGAACAGAAGCCTTCAAGCCAGGTGGGTGGCACACCCCTGCAATGCCAGCTAGTCACCAGGCTGAGGCAAGAGGACCCCAAGTTTAAGGCCAGCTTGGGCAACATAGCCAGACCCAGTCTCAAAATGCAATTTAAAAAAAGGTAAAACGTAAGGGAGACTAAGACAGGATGATTGCAAGTTCAAGGTCAGCCGCAGCAATTTAGTGAGCCCTGAGCAAGTAAGCAAGCCTTCATCTCAAAAAATAAAAAGGGCTAGGGATATAGTTCATCATCACTGGGTTCAATCCCTAGGATCCCCTCATCCCCTCAAAAAAAGATAGAGTTCAGTGGTAGAAGGCTTGCCTAGCACGCACAAGGCCAGGTTCAATCCCCTGCACCACCGAGAGGAGAAATAATAGAAGGCTCTAAAAATAACAGTGTCTGATGGATGAATGAGTAAACAAAATGTGATCTATGCATATCACGGCTCAGCGTTTGGCTGTTCAAAGGAACAAAGTACTGACATACGATACCCACATGCTAAGTGGAAGACAGCAGACAGAAGGCCACTCGGCACAGGCTTCCATTATTTAAAGTACCCAGGAGAGGCCGACGCACATGGAGAGAAAGCGGATTAGTGGCAGCTACAGGGCGGGAATGGGGAGCGACTGCTAAGGGCTACGAGGTTCTTCTGGGAATGGTGAAATGCTCCAAAGTTGAGGAAGGTGACAGCTGCAGAACCCAATGTCTAAAAACACTGAACAGGGGCTGGGGATGCAGCTTAGTGGCCAGTCTGTCACATACAGGACCCTGGGCTCTGGTCCCAGTACTGTATGCAAAAAACCAACAGCACTGAACACTCGAAGGGGTGAATCGTCTGCTGTGTGAATCACATCTCCATAAAGCTGCTACCAAATTAGAACCATGTCTAGCACAGAGTTTTGCAAGTGCCCCTGCACTCACGATGGGTGGCACCTCAGTGAACCTCCCGGCACACCGCATACAACCCTAAGCTGAACACACACCAAGGGCACCCGAGGACAGCCCACCACTCGTGACGAGGGTGGGAAAAGTCCCAAATTCAACATCTGGGGTATGCTCATTCCCGAAGGAGACCAGCCGTGAAGTCAGAGGTTGTGGGCCTTGCCACCTTCAAGTGGGGATTGCAGGTCTGTGGATTTTGGTCATGATTTCTCTTCACCATAGGAGGCTCTGAGGATCAGCTTTGGTGCTCTTTCAAAGAGACAACCAGGGGCGGCGTGTCCCTTAGGTGTGCCCAGGTAGACCAAACACGGCGGCTCCCACACTAAAAGAATCCAGGAGGTTTCACTGAAAAGACAAACGCCTCTTACACCCCCGTGTTCTCCACAACAGCGCAGAAGTGACAGGCTCAGAGGACCGTCATCTGCAACAGAAGGGCTGTCGAAGTGTCTGCAAAAGGTGCTCTCGATGGTCCCCACGGTGAACCTACAGCAGGTAAGAGCAGCTCAGAAGAACTCGTACTACAGGAGTCGGTCTGTCCACACTGGAAACCAACAGACCCAAGACTGGAGGAACAGGCCTCCCGGGGGTCCACGCACGGTCCACGCCAGCTCAGGACGGGCCAAGCAAGGCTTCCGTGGAAAAATATGTCCTGCCCACATAGTGTCACAGCTGCCTGTCATTTCCAAATACATCGAGAGGGACACGTAAGACAGAGGAGCTTCCACCACATAAAAGCCAAATACTTTGATTTGTTTATATAAACCAAACTCCAGAGCAAAGACAAATACCTCACACGTAAACGGGGGGAAAGATCAGAAGCTATGGGTCACTCCAAGGCACACACATTTTGACGACCGTCTTTGTTTTTCTAAACTTCATGGAAACCTGAATTCCAGAAGCTAGATGTTTTAAATAGAGTCAGCAGGGCTGGGGACAAGTGCAGGCCAGCAGTAAGGCTCTTGCCCGAGTTCCATCCCCAGCACTGCAAGAAGAAAAAAAAAAAGAGTTTGAAGTGTGCTGACAGAGAGCTTCACATTTTTCCCCCCAGCAAAAATCACCTATTGCAAAGAATCTCCAATTTCCATTTCCAGCGCATACAAGAAAACAAACATGACCGCGTGGCTTTAAGCATAGAAAACACAGAGGTTGGCAGGTTGTTCCTAATAAAATCTTTCACAATTCTACTTACTCAGAAGTAAACGCAGGCCAATCCTTTCTTCTTTCCAGGGCTTATGTGGAGACCTCTCTTCTATCTTGTATTACCTGTTAATGAATAAGACTCCAAGTCAGTCCAACACGTAAGCCAACACATCCCGAGACGGTCTCACCCGCTCCTTCACCAAGCAGACGTCCGAGTGAGCACGTACAGTGTCCCCCCAGTCAAGGGTAGACCCCACGTAAGATGGGGGTCCCGTGAGATTTCATCCCCTGGGATAATGTGATCATCCGAGTTTGTACATTCCGTGATGCTCCAATAAGAAGGCTAGGGACGCGTTCACCCTGATGTCGTTGACCCGGCTGCAGTACTCCGGCACTAGGAGGCTGTATTAATAATAACTGTTAGGTGCTGGGCCTCCCTCACTGGTGGATTTAAGGCTCAAGCCTGTTGAATGCTGCGAGGCTGTTCACACAGACTGCTCAAAAAGCGTCACGATGCTCAGCACATCGCCAAAACCCCAAAACCCCACTCGACTCCAACAACTAGACAACGTGGTCTGCGATGCTAAAGCTCGCCGAGCCAAAACACAGGTATTTCAGAAGGCAAGTCCAATCTTCCACCGACAGGAGCTCCATGTTGAGCCCTGGGGAAGGGGGGAAGGCTGTGGAGCTTGGCAAGAGGGGAACAGGGACAGTTAGCTATGAACAAACGCACTAGGCAATTTCCGATGAGAAACAATGAACCATTAGTCTGGGACGAGGAACAGACCCTGAGCAGGAGGAGAGGGACTTTGCCTCCGAGAAGGGATCATTGAACAGGGGCAAGGTTGCAGGTGCCATGCACAAGTCCTTGCTAAGAAGGATCTTGGCACGAGGACTGGGGACAACAGTGGGGAGCCCTTCCACAGGACTTTCTCCGGCATCTTCCCAGCTCTGGACATCAGGAACCGCGGCACAGGGGCCCCTCATGGAGACACCCGACTGCCCTTCCTGCTCCCCAGGTGTTTGCTCTGAGCGACTCCAGGGCTGTGGGCCCCTGGCAGGGGGCGCCCACGATGCCGTGTGCAAATCCCGACAGCCCACTCGCCCGAGCGCTTCACTGCCCACGAAGCCACCTTGACCACGCCTCCCTCTGCCTTCGGAAAGGGAAGGGAAAAGGGGAAGAAGGGACTCTCTGCAGACGCCCCTCTTCCTTTTGCGGTGCTGGGGAGGCGAGCCCACCCCCATCTTCCTCCTAATTAATAAGAGACTCTCCAGACTCGAGTTTCCTCAGCTGTGAAAGAAGGGCATTAAAATATTTATGAGGTTTCCGCCACATCAAAAAATCTGCGGGACCGTTTTCCTATCGACTTCCTCTGGCAACTCTAGGGGGAAACACTCGCAGAGAACTTATCTAAGGACCCGGGGAAGAACTGCAGAGACGGGGAGGGCGGGCGGCCGTCTCACAGCCGACTGAGCGCTGCAATAGACCCACAGGGCGCAACGTTGAACCCGACTCGCCACAGCCATCAACACTGCGACTCCAGAGAAACCCAAGTTGTACCAACGCGAAAACCATGTGAAAAATCTGAAACACGTTTTCAGAAGCCACCAAGCATGAGAGGGAAGCTGCCATTTCCTCCCGATTCCTTTTCTCATTTTAGTGAGCCCTGCACTAACTGGGCCTGAAGCCAGACGCCAAGATGGGCTGGCGTGAGCAGCTGGGGTGCCGGGGTGCCAGAGGGTTCTTGCTATGGGTTCAAGTTCTGTGCCATGAAGCAGTTGCTGCTTCCTGTTTTACCAACAAAAGACGGCATTTTTTTTTTAATGTATTGAGATGGTTTATTCAATGACAGGTTTTTAAATCCTTTAAATCAGTAGTTCAAGGAGCAGTGAGGTTGCCCCCCGGAGCACTGGGCAATGTCTGCACACCTGTTTAGCCGTCAGGACCGGAGAGGAGTGCTCCCAAACACCCTTGCACACACTTTACGTTAAACTCTAATTTTTAGAGAGGGTAATACCCAAACCATTTTTATTCTTTTCAAAGTAACCCATCTTCAGCTTTTAAAAGCAAAAGCCAAGTGAGTCAAAAGACTCCTTTTTTCAAAATTGCGAGCCTTTCTGCACCACTGATCTACAGTTCCATTCCCAAAAGCAATCACTTTAATGCCTTGGAACTATTTTTGTTAATGTTCGTGTTCCTTGGTATTGACTTCCACGTTTCTAAATCATCTGCTTATAATACTTCTTCACTAAACCACATTTCAATGCAACTTGCTGATTTTCTCATAAACGCAGATTTGTTTCCTTAAATGCCAACCATCAATGCTGTGCCTACCCTTTCACATTTTCCCCATCACTTTTGATAACTTGTTTTCTGTTAAATCTATACTCTGCACATTATTTCGATGATGGAGTGGGTAATGCTGAGCAAGCAATAATATAGCAGCATTCAGATTCATTTCTTATTCAACTTTCCCATTTTCCTGGAATCCCTAATTGCCTTGGTTTTTATTTTCTTCTTTTTCTTTGTTCCCTTTGACAAAATTCTTCCAAGATCTGGCAACATTCTTTCCATTCAGTTTTCCACACGTTTAAAATGCTCAGATATTATGCTGGGGTTGTGGCTTAGTGGTTAGAGGACCTGCCTAGCCCACCTGAGGCACTGGGTTCAATCCTCACCACGTAAAAATGAAGGCAGTGTATCCGTGTCCAACTTAACAAAATTAAAAAACATTTAGATCGTCTGTCAGTTCCACGTGCTGCCACCTTCACAACACACGTACCAGAACGTCCTCTTCCAATTTCGTGGGTCCAGTCTGTGCTAGTCAGTGTTAGGCCTGCTGCAACCCGAATCCACCAAGGCCTCGAGAATTCCTTGTCTTTGTTGTCTATCTGGACATTCAGAGTCCCACGATGTCCCCTTGCTTGGTTACTGTCTCACCTTGGTGGGACAGGTTGACATCTCACTTCTCCAGAAGTGGACAAAGTGAAGTGTGGCTGATGTAATGAATGTGCACAAGCATCTTTAGTCCATCCTCCATACATTTGGAGGGGAGAAACTTCAAAATTCTGGCTGCAAATTGTTTTCAAACAATTCTGTAGTATGTCCGTTTTGTAACTTCCACTATTGCTGTTAAAAAAATCTGATGTCACTCATCTTTTACATACATAACTTTAAAATCCTAGAAAAGTGCTTCAATACTGCCTTTATCCCTACTGTTTTAAGTTATGCTTAGCTTTGATAAAAATGTTAACTTTTTTAAAATTTGTTTTATGAGTTTGTCAACGGACCTTTATTTCTATGTGCTGCTGAGAATCAAACCCAGTGCCTCACACATGCTAGGCAAGCGCTCTGCCACTGACCCACAGCTGCAGCACTTTTTTTATTTCAAGATAGGGCTTTACTTAATTGCTCAGGCTGGACTGCAATCCTCCCGCCTCAGTCTCCCAGGTAAATAGGATTACAGGCGTGTACCACCAACCCAACTGACAGGGTTCATTTTTGCTCTAGTTACTTGCTATGAAAACTTCTCTCCCCTTCACATTTGTCTTGCTCTTCCCTGAGGTTCCTATGAGGCTAATGTCTGTCCACAGCTGCTCTGTGCAGTTGAACTTATTGTCCCATGTCCCCCGTCTACGGAGGAACCCACTAGCCACATGCAGCTACTGAACACCACTCACATAGCCAGTACTGGGGATGAGCACCGGTTTAATTGTATGTAAATTAACTAAGTTCAAACAGTCTCAGGTACCAATGTAAAGACTATCAGGAAGGGAAAAACACTCATCAGGGGAAGCTCCAATTCTGAGACCACATTCAACTTAAATTGAGAAGGAAAAGTTGAATATACTTGGAAGCCCCCGCCCTTAGTGTTTCCAGCATGAAGTTCCATGATTTAGCTCAAGAACCTGCATGGGCGCTCCTCAAGGAGAAACATCCTTGTAAGTAAAGATGCAGCTCATTATCCCAAGTACAAGAAGGGAAAAGGAGATCCCTTGGGTGCCTCCTCGAGTCATCAGGGTGCCCCACAGAACAGTCACACGCGTGCTAATAGAAGGAAAGATGGAGGAAAAGGAACAAGGCACACACGGGTGACTTCTCTGTAGGTCAGGCAGAGGACTGCACATTTCCTCCTAAGTGCTTTGATTAAAAAATACAGGAACTAAAAAGGCATTAGTTGTAGTTGGACACAATACCTTTATGTTATTTTTATGGGGTGCCGAGGATCGAACCCAGTGCCTTGCACACGCTAGGCAAGCGCTCTAACGCAAGGCCGCAACCCCAGCCCCCCAGGGCATTTTCTAAGCACGCATCTTTGTCTTCATTTGATACATGTCACACATAAACCAAACTGTTGCTCAGGCCGTCTAATGATCTACATGGAAAAGAACAAAACCAAGCCACAGGTGAGCACGCCTGTGATCTCAGCAACTTGGGAGGCTGAGGCAAGAGATGGGAAGTTCAAAGGCAGCCTCAGCAA